GGCTCCGCGCCGCGCGGGACTCAGCCCGGGGGGCGCGGCCGCGCGGAGCTGGCGCGGCCCCGCCTCAGCTCCCACCTCCGCGGGTGCCCGCCCCCCGCGCCTCCGCGCACCCTGCTCCCAGCGTTGCGGCGCTGTGCAGCCCACTGCCCCACGGACGCGGCGAGCCCGGCAGGGCGCGGAGCTGAGGCCTCGGTGGGCAGGCGAAGAGTTTGCAAAGTGCCGGCTTCGATGCGAGGGGGAGCGGGATTCCCAGCGGCGGGCGCGGGAGTAGCCGGAGGGAGGGAAGGAAGGAGAAAGGGAGAGAGGGACGGCGCCGCCTAATGGCCCTCCTGCCCCGCGCCCACGCCGGGCTCGCTGGGGTGCGACTGTTGTCTCATCACCACCATCCTAGCCACTCGGATGCATAAATTTAATAAAAGAGAAATTCGGCGAAATGTGTCTTCATAATACTGTCAGCCTAAGACTTGGGGTGTGACTAGAAAAGCAGCTGATAAATTCCTAAGGACTTTGACATTTGTAACTGATATAAGTCTACTAAAACGAGGGTTTGTTTTGTAGATACACACACAAGACAAGTTTTCTAGACTGGCCCTTCCTCATTCTAAGCAGATAGCGGCCCTGAAACGTCCAACACATCCATATGCACCAGCGGCTAAGGCCCAGGCATCACCTTCTGAAATTCACACCCTGGGAACTGATTGGTTTGTTTGTAGGACAATGACCCTGGTCATGGACACTGGCTTGGAGGCCTTGAGCTTCAGTTTCCTCAACAGTAATGTTTTCTTTTTTAAGATTGAGAAAATTTTTACTAGAAGCTTTGTTCTACAATAACTATTGTTTATTAGGTTCAGGTGTAGAAAGCAATGTAATAGACATTTACACCCCTCACAAAGTGGTAGTAACCCCCTCCAAGTCTACTACCCCTCTGACATCGTATATAGCTGTTACAATACCATTGACTATATTCCCTATGCTGTACTTTACACCCCATGAATACATATACACATACCAGGGGTGCCAAAAAATGTATACACATTTTAAGAAAGAAAAACCATATTAAAATGATAATACTCAGTTATATACTGATAACAAAAGATGGATACAAGTCACATTTTGACTTCTGCAATTACAAGAGGTGCTCAAAGTGGTTACCATCAGCGTCCAGACACTTCTGATAACTGCAAACTACGGCTCGGACAACATTAACCATCTCTTAAAATATAAATATAAATACACGCGCACACACACACACACACACACACACATATATATATATATATATATATATATTTGACATTCAATATAATTCTACTTCAGCTACAGGTGTATACTGCAGTGGTCAGGTGAAGCGATTAGAAAATACAAATTGGTAGTCACAATGTAGTCATGGGGATATGAAATACAGTATGGGACTATAATCAATAATGTAAAGATTATGTAGGGTGCCAGATGGGTACTGGACTTATTAGATGGGATCACTTTATAGGCTGTATAGATGTTTTCTATTTCTTGACTTTAAAAAAAATCTATAATTTTCATATGCCAAATTTCTTTGAAATTAAAATTGTTATTTTTCTATTTTCTTGACTTGCAGAGTTAGATATTTCCATTGTTCCTTGTTTTCTAGCAAACACATTTTAAGTCTATAAATTTACCTCTGGGTGAAGCTTTAGCTACATCTCATACATTTCTAACACTTTGTAGTAGTGCATATTTCAATGGTATAGCTTTTCTTCATTTAAAGCAGGCATTATATTGGCTTTGCTGACACCTGATATCCCCTACCCATGTTTGTTGATATCCCTCCACCTCCCAGAGAGGATGAGCCCTGCAAGGTGACACCTTATTGGGTGTCCCCTGGGCAAGGCCTATGGAGAGGGAGAGAATGGCAGTGGGGCCATTTAGTGGGGTCCTCAAATTCATCAAGGACTCTTCCATCAGGATGAGGTTAAACAAATATCATGCTGAATTAAAACTCTTAACACTTAATTTTAAACTTCTCCCTCATTACTACACCAGTAATAGTGACCTAGAAATTAATATTTTTATAAGTTCTGTAATTATCTTGTTAAGAGCACAATTATATGGCATCCTATTGTGTGTGTGTGTGTGCGCGCACGCGTGTAAAAGTGTTTGTCATTTCAGTTTATACAATTAAACATACCAACATCTTTGCAACCCTATTCTAATAGATCCTCATTTTATAAATATATCAGAGCCTCCCAAAAAGAGACATGGCCCAGGCTTCTCTCAACTTTTGGGGGAGACCCGAACCCAGAGTCACAAGTGAGTCCTCTGCCAGTGTTTGGGAGTGAAGGAAATTCAATTCTAAATCCTGACACATGTCAGTGAGGATGGTGGGGAGAGGAGCTGACTGAGTGAGGAGAAGGAGCAACTGGGCCTCCCCTCCTGGGCCACAGCCCTATTTGCCTGTCCCCGACACCCCTTTCCAGCGGTTCTAGGTTGAAGCTGACCTCACATTTCCATCTGCACATAGCCTCCTTCTCTCTGAGACGTTCCACCTCTCCAAGCATCAGACATACGGGTGATGGAGACTGGGGCAGGGGTTTGGGGAGGCTCCATCCCTGCCTCCCAGGAGAAGCCAGGCCAAGACAGGGCAGAATATGGCAGTAGGCATACAGGTGCTGTGGCAGCCTCTGGGGACTACACCTACACCCCAGGACTGGGCAGAACCCTGTCCTTCCAGGCCTGCTGCCCCCAGGCCCCCTGAAGCAAGCTGAGATATCCACAGAGCATAAGCTCTGGGCGGCATGAATGATGGTGAGTCTTATGACCCGTTTCTCTGCTCCTTCCAGTTCCTGTCACCCTAGGCAATGGGAGAAGTGAGGGGATGAGCATCCACAGGCTCGCCTGCTGCCTCCCGTCTTACCGGTTTTCCTTGACCTCCATTCCCAGCACTCTCGGGTGTTCTAGTTACAGCCAAAATCCAGCTAGAGGTTATAAGTCTGCCACCGGCAGTGAGATCACATATACCAGCCTGCCTTCCGGCTCACATACTGAGGCACACTCCAGAATAAAGGCTGCACCCTCCCCCAGAGAAGGGAGGCCTCCTGCTCAAAGAGCATCAGCTAGTCACTCACTGAACAAATGTTACTGAACATTGATGGGAGCCAGGCTCTGGGGACACCAAGCATGATAGACAAGGGCCCTGCTGTCTTGGAGTTCTCCAGTGGAGACAAACACTGAAGGGTCGTGATGGGTGGGCCAGGGATCTGGGCAGCCGCTCAGCAGAACACACTCTTAGGTTAATGCTTTACCATCGCCATCTTCATAATCTTAATTTTGGGACAAGGGACCCCACATTTTCATTTTGAACTGAGCCCCTCACATCGTGAGGCTAGTCCTGGAGGAGTGCCATGGTGTGCCAGTGAGCATTAAACAACCAGAGAAAGAGCACCACATGTAGCGTTTGCCACTTCCCAGGGTGTAAACACTCCCGCTGCGGCTGACATCGCGAGAACTCCGTGACCGTGGAGCTGGGCCACAGTGCTCATGGCAGTGCAGACAAGGACAGGGCGTTGCAGTGGCACGCAACAGGTGCTTGGCCTGTTTGACATTCCACGTAAACCTAATAGGAATCACAGTGGTGTCAGCTGAAGAGTTTTGACTTTGGGCCAGAGAAGCTGAGAGCTGGGAGCAAAGCTTCCCACCAGGCCAGAGAGAGCTCTTCGCTCCCAGCATTCCCAGTAGCGTGGGGCTGAAAAGCCTACATACCTCTGCCTCCCAGGCAGGACTTTGGAAGGTGGTTCAGCACAATCTGCCTTTCGCCAAGCTCTGTTGCCACAAACAGGAATCTCCCTGGCTTTGATCCCCACCCCTGGCCCCCAGATATGATAACTGACCTCTCTCTTTGATGAGGACTGGATTCTTGACTCTTAGCCACCTAGGTGTCTCTTATGGTCTCTCCACATAAGCCAGTGACATAAGAACAATGACAGGCAGAGTGAGAGAAGCAGACAGGTAGGAGTAAAGCAGGGTGCCTAAACACAGCTGACAAAACAAGGCAGTCAAAACATATTTAGGCCGTCCAATGCAGACATTGTCTCTTGTTTAAATTCCACAGTGTACAGTGAAAGAATTGGAACTCTGCAGCCGATGCTGTGGTGCCTGACCAGACTTCCACTGCAAGATGAGGCTCCCCTCCATGGACCAGAGACATTGGCATCTGACAGCTCATAGCCGAAGCCAAGTTCCTCTTAGGAAATTGCCCTGTGCTGATGGCATCTGTATCACCAAACATTTTGTCCTCCCTTCCTGGAGCAGCCCTCATCCAGAACTGGTTCATGCAGGATCTCATACAAGATCCCAGCCCCCTTGCTTGAGCGTGGGCAGCTCTGCAGCATCATCCCAGCACTAGAGGTCCTGATAGGAGCCCCTGAGGCCTCTGTTGGGATTGCACCACAGCCCAACTCCCTCTGCCCAAACTTGCTTCTTCACTCCTTCACTGGTGCACAGAGCAGTCCTCAGTCAAGCTCCTGCATGCAGACCTCCATCACAGGATGTATCCCTGGGAAGCAGCCCAGGACACCTTCCTCTCCCAACCCTGTCTTCATACCACTGCTTTCACTTTGTTGCGATTTATGGGATTTACATGCTGTTCTGTAACTCTAGTTAAGGTCTCCCTACTTCATATGTTGATAAATTCTCAGCTCTGAAAAACCAATAATTGGCTTTTCCAATATTATAATTATGTAAATACAAAGCCAAGCAGTTTAAATTGAACTGCAGAGAAAAAGATGTAACTATACACTCAAAAGAAAATAAAAATAACAAAAATTTGGAG